AGGGACCGGGATTCGATCCCCCAGCACCACATGCCAGCCAGCCCCGCCCCCTGGTGGGCTGAGCTGGCCACACACATACACACACTAAATAAAAATGTAATAAATAAATAATTTAAAAAAAAAATAAGCTGAGCTGGAGATATAGCTCAACAGCACAAATGCCTGCCTGGCAATGTAATCACAAGGTCATAAATTCAATTCCTGGTACCAAAAAATAACAAAAAATAAACAGGCGGGGGCATGGTGATACATACCTGTAATTCCAGCACTTGACTTTTTTTTTTTTTTGGTACCAGGGATCAAACTTAGGACCTTGCACTTGCCAGGCAGGCACTTCTGCCACTGAGCTAAATCCCCAACAATCCCAGCACTTTGAAGGCTAAGGCAGGAAGATCATAGTTTGAGACCAGCAACACACTGAGCTTTGCCATTGGGCCCTTGTTATCCCCAGTTCCTACACTACATTAGCAAGACCCTGTCTCAAAAAACCAAAACATTAAATTTTCTGCAGCTCGGGATGTGACTCAGTAGTAGGACACTAACCTAGCTTGCACAGGACCTCTGGGCTCAATCCCTTGCACCACTAAGAGAAAAGTGATTAACCGTAAAGAATAGAACCAGGGGCTGGGGAGACAGCTCAACAGTCTAAGCACCTGCACAAGGACCAAGGTTCAATCCCACTACCACATGCCGTGCTAGCCCCAAAACCGGGCATGATTAAATTCTAGAGAATTTAGAGAACTTCTCATGGTTTCTCTGCCATACTACAGCTTCAATATTTTCCTACTTTAACTTGTATTACCTCAAGAATTCCTTTAGAGGGACCGGGGAGATAGCTCAGTGGCCTAAGTGCCTGCCTGGCAAACACAAGGTCCTGAGTTTGATCCCCGGTACCAAAAAAGAAAAAAAAAAAAAAAAAAAAAGAATTCCTTTAGCATTTTCTTCACTCATTCTCAATCAAGTAATCATAAACTTGTTTATCATTTCTGCTTTCTTTAATCCCATATTCCTGTCCTCAACTACTGTTCTCACATTCCTTCAGGCTAGAATTTAAAGACCAATTACACATCTCTATAAAACCTTGACTGTTAAGTAACAGTTATTTACAGTTCTTATTAATTGTTCATTTTAATACTTATCGAAGTCTAATTCCTCTTTCTGTAAGTTTTAAGAATTGTAAACTGGTTACCTTTTTAACACTTTCTTCTTCCTCTTGGCGTTTCTCATAGTGTGAGAAGTCATCAAAAATGGAAGTGGTGTGCTTGTAGCTGGCTATGATTTTCAACACCTGCTTAGCTTTTTCCAGAGGCACTTCTTGAGTGTCCCTTGAGTTGGTCACTGGTTTGTTCTCGTTGTTCTCTAGGCGAATGTGTCGCAGTTGGCTATTGGGAATGTCCTTCACAAAAATCCATCTGACATCAAAACGACCCTTCCATTTGTCCTGGGACCAAACACCTGCACATGTGTTGTAGTCCACAGCAGATTTCATTTCTGCAACGCCACAGAAGTGTCCACTGCCGTTGACACTGAAAAGTAAGTAAACGGGGCCTTTCCCGTTCATGGAACGGTAAGCAGCATCCAGTCTCTTGTTACCATGCTCTGTGCTGCACCAGATATTATACTTAATGGAACGGTGGATATCGTCCTCAGAGTAGCTCTTGATGATGAAAACTCGGCCATGTTTCAGATTCCAGTCAAAATCCTTGGGGTTATAATTATTAATTGACCGTAGCTTCTCCAACACTGGGTGTGGTTCTGAAGGAGTAGATCCAGAACCAGCCTGGGATTGTCCTACTCCATTACCATCCACCCCATTATGACCGAACCCACTGCCACGGTTCCGAGGTGCTACCCAGCGGGTGGGCTGAGCTTCCTGTTGCTGAACTGAGAGTTGGGCAGGCTGTGGTGGAGGTGGAGGCAATGGCTGTGTCTGTTGTCCTACTGAGGCCTGAGCCACTGGTGGGCTATTGTTAGCCTGCTGACCTACAGGCTGGGGAGACCCTTGGGTTGGCTGACCTATATTCTGAACCAGAGCCTGTGAAGGAGCTTTTGCCATTGGACCCTTGTTATCCCAAGTTCCAATATCCATGTTATGCTTTATTGGGGGTGGTGGAAGACTTGAACCTGCAATACCATTCTTGGTCTTCAGCTTGGGTTGCTGTTTTGCAGGCTTGCTAGCAATATCTGCCCAAGATGCTGGTTTTGGAGGAGCAATGGTAGCTGGAGGCAAACTACTGGAAGCCACAATGTTACTAGTAATGGACCCACTACCAACAGCAG